TATATATAGCTTTGACAGATTTTAGTTAAAAATGAGGGGAAATCACCTATTCGTACATGTTGTTTAAGAGTGTTTATTGGTGGCTAGCGGGTTCGATTCTGCTCTGGCATATGTGCCTGTTTGATGCTGCGATGGTTTTCGTACGAAGTCCTTGCGCCCTTTTTGAAAACGGAGCTGGTGGTCGAGGAGCTCCACTCCACTGGTATTCTGTTTTCGTTCCAAATATGTAGTATGGGTGTCAGACTGTTCAGCAGAACCTAGTAATCTCTTTTGGAAAATGCGAGGTACAAACCATCTGGACTAGGTATCTTGTCGCTCTGGAGGATTTGTTGTTGATGGCGGGCTGGTATCGATGTTCCACTGGAGCACTCTGTGGCTGAAGGAGGCTCCGAACACCGCATGACACTATCCGGCCACAAACAAAGCAGGCTGGTCACCGTAACACCACAATCGAAAAACAGTTCAACCGGCATCATGGAGCAACTGCGCGCGCATTCAGCGAAGGCCAGAGAGTCTTGGTTCGTGACTACAGCGGCAGACACCCTACGTGGACCCCAGGACTCATCCTTCGCCGGCGCGGCAAAGTGCTCTACGAGACTCAAGTTGGTCCAGCCCAAGTGGATACGCCACGCGAACCAAATCCGGCCGACAGATTCGCAGATCCTGCCTACAGGACCGAGTGATATGAGTCTAAAAATACTTCTGGACACTTTTGATCTCGACACCACCCGAGAAAATCAATCAGTTGCTGTCGCACTTCAATCCATCGCTGAGGCTGTGTGCATGCCGATCTGGGATCTGGTACCCTCCACTCGGGAGGTACATCATGGCTGTCCGGTGCCCCATGCAACGTGGTCCCCTCACTGAGCCGCAGTCTGTTGCCTGAATTTGGTTCACATGACGCGGCTGTGCTGATGATCTTACGTGTGCCTCGTGTTTGACATAATCGACCCTGCGTCCACCGTGGAGAGCATTCCCCATATCTTCGAATCAGTGGCTGGTCTCTGTGTGACTGTTGTGGCGTTCCTCCTGCCGGCCCCCTCCATAAAGGGCTGTGTAGAGCTACCGTGCCTTTTGATATACCATAGTGGGTGAAGCAGGAAGCCAAAGGACCGATACAGTGTTGCACGATCGTCCATCAGGACATAACATTTTCATTCTTGAATCTCCTGATTATCCGATGTTTGCGTGCGCCATCACAGTGGCTAGTTGTTGGTACGGGCTTTCAGGCAGCAATATGATCTGCCGATCTCGACGATATCCGGCGTTCATTTGGTCGAATCAGATTGCTTGGACACACAGCTCTGAAAGCTAAGAGTATAGCCTCTTTAACCCGCTTCCATTCAACCTCGACTGACGTACGATGGGTTGCGTTGCATACACTATTATGCATGGGATAGAACCGTATAGGGCGGTGAGACATGGACGGTACATCCACGTCACATCCGAGTCGCCGATCGATTTCATCCGTTCTGTCTCGAGAGGATAATGGCCTTTCGTTTGTCATTCCGAATACAAAAGACTCAGAAGGCAAGATATACTGAACTGAAAACTTCTTGATTCATACCAGTTGCGTCGGAAAATTAATGTGGAACGCATGGCATTGGATCACTTCCAGGAAACTTCTATACGGGCGATCGAAGAGTGCAAGTTATGTAAATAAGAATGTGAAGAATGGTCTTTGAGGCCGGGGAGGACCGAGGCTACAACAGAGTCAAAATCCCTGTGGGTTTGAAAATCAGAATTTTTGATTTCATGTTGTAATGGAATCTGATGCGGATCAGACACATCTGGTGCGAGGTGTAGCGAATTTCGGAAGTCAGCTTGTCTCAATATGCCATTATAGAATACCTGTTCGCAAGCGCCCCGCGACGAACGTATGAACACCACAGTTTTTTGAATCGGTAGACTCACAGACCAATCTGTGTGAGCGAAATTGCCGCGCACCAGCACTCTCTGCTGTTATATCAGTCGCCAGGTGTCGACTGGTCAGTAGGTCCGCTCGAGTCCTCCGCAAGTGAAACCATACTTCTGCTGTACCAACAAAAGTCACCCTTTGTTAGTGGGTTGAGTGATTGCTTGAGTGGGTCCCACTCAACCCTGCACTGACGATGTCACCTCGATTGGTGATGAAACGTTTGCAATCCAACTGCCAAGCTCGGCGAACAGACCAACAACCAAACAGCGCACCCGAGCTACTTACATTCCACAACATTGCTACTAGCCTATTCATTCGTGCTAGCCTTTAGAGGTTCGTCGTGAGCGGTCTGCCAGCAGATGCTCAGGCGGACTGATGGCTGCCAACAGGTCTCCACGAGTTTACCGGCTGCTCTTATTCATTCTGGTTCATATTGGATTCTTGGGCTCCGCGTTTTGGATATCTATAAGTACGCACATTTTTTCAATGGTCCAGATAGTGTTTGACAAAAAATCCCTATCGGACACCGGCCACTTGTATGGTTGTAGTGTATTAAGCTTATCTGGAGGCTGTTCCTGTATGAATGCGGTGGGTAGTAAGAGTGCTTCCGCTGTTTCTTCCCCGTTTTCAGATAACTCACAATTTGGCCTGATCTCTATCCTTCTGTGTTTGCAGCCACTTCACTTCGGAACTCGAACAACTTTTTTTATATTTCATTTGTAGACTGAACTCTTGAAGAACCTGGGAGAAGCCATCGAGGAGTTTTACGGGGAAGATAAACGAGCAAGCCCGGATTTTGGCAGAATAATTAACGAGATGCATTGGAAGTACGCACTTAAACAAGCAAGCTAGTCGCCATAGCTTAGAACTCGTTCTTCCGATCCTGTTCCCCTTCTGTTCAGTTTTCAATCATTGTTTAAAATTTTTGTCACAGGCATTTTGAAATCTACATTCATTTGTCCTTGCTCCAACTCTTTCGCTCTCTTTTCTTTCAGGCGTTTGACCAATTTGCTTTCCGAGACAAAAGGCAAAACGGTTTACGGAGGTGAGGCGGTACAGGATGATTTGTACATCGCACCTACGGTGGTCATCGACGTTAGACCAGACGATTCACTCATGAGCGAAGAGGTAATCTCCCAGCCTGTAAACGCTGTGGACCGGTTGCGTTCCGGATATTGTGGTAACCACCGGTCAATGCCCTTCTCTCATGGTCTGTTTGTTTGTTTCTTTGTTTCCTGTCTGTCATGGCTGTATCCTTTTGTGAACCATAGTATGCTTGCTTGTGTTGTAGTTGCTTCGTCCGTACGTGTGGTCCGTTTCAGCATAGATTCCAGCAGTCGATGAATGGAGACCTTTTTTTACCAGACTTTTTTTCCGATAATTTTCAGATTTTTGGACCCATTCTACCCATCCTGACGGTGGATTCACCTAAGGAGGCCGTAGAAATCATCAGATCCAAGTATACCTGACTTTATCCATTCGTTGATCTTTATTCCAGACCACATCCTTTGGCTGTGTATGTTTTCACAAACAGCAACGATGTATTCGAGATATTCAAAGAGGAAACTACTAGCGGTGCATTAGTGCAAAACGATTGTGGAATTCAAGCATCCTGTAAGTTAAACTTTGTCTGTGAGATCACAGACACTTTGTGGATATACTCTGATTTATTCATCCGTCGGGACAAAAAATCCTCCGTTATTCCTTTTACACGGCTGTTGCATCACTGGTTATTTAGAAAACAGTTCAGGTACGATTTCTCTCAGTCGCTACCTTAGGGCTCTACACTTGAGTCCACCAGTTAATCGCATTTGAGGTCTTCTAGCTCACTGCACATTTCTTGGGCTCTCCTCAGATTGCAAAAAATTGTTATAGATTCTTGGTGAATAGCTGTACTTATAAGTGGCGATGTTTGTTCCAAACCTCATTACTTATCAAGCATGTCTAGTCTTTGGACACCGAAATAATCATTATATTAGTTATTTAGTTAAATTATGTCACTAATGATATCGTATTCAACCGAATATTTCAAGTGAATGAAAACACTGGAATAGTATTCCTAACTTTAGTGACCTACGCGGTCTTGAAGGTCACACGGACTGTGGTCATTCTCCAGAAGTGTAGTCTGCTTCATCGAATATCACCCACAGGGTTAGGATTGTTCCGTCGCTAGGTGTCAACCCCAAACTACAAGTGGTATATTCAAGAATGGTTCGTTTTTCAAAATCGCATTACATGCTCTCAAGTATGCGACTAGATTTCGTATGCACTCTCTCGTAACAGATGGAATTCGTCGGCACAGTTCTCTGCTCAAGTCACCTATAAGAAAGTCATTCAGGTAGGTTTCCCGAAATGTTGGATATAGGTTGAACATCGTTCGCGCACACAAATGCGAGATTTTACGGGGCGATGCTTTTGGTCCTAGTTCGCCTTCAGCTTGTAGGCCCTGGCAGTTGACTAAGGTACAATATCCGTCACAAAAGCCCTACCTATCTCGATTGTGCAGTTCAAAATTCAAGAAGATATAAGACCATCCATTTCGATACCTCATTTTCTTTGGATTTTCGGTCTCGAAAAGCCGAAGCATTACAATAGGCTTTAGACATAATCACATGGCTATAACCAGTCTACTGAGATTGCGTTGATTGTCGACCGGCTGAATAATAAATGGACACACTGCGTAAGGAAAGGACACTTTTTTAGCCTGGATAACCTACATCTTCTCTATGCATCTGTTGAGGACGCCGTCTTCAACGTTTAGGATGCTGCGTGCAAGAGATTGGAGACAACCGAAGAGATACAGCAGCAATCGACAAATACACTCATTTGCCTGGTAATTTGGCTTTCACAAGAGACTCGCGTCAGTCTCAGCTGAGTCTGTCCTTTTTGAGGTTTTTCGAGGAGTTTTCAGCAACCTTGTGGGTGCTGTGTTACGTCTACACAGATTCAGGCGCACTTCATGGTGGCGAATGGATGAAAAGCTATTGCGAAGGCGGTATAAACACCCTGGTGAGCGGATTTCCCCAGATCTGTTCTTTGAACGTTGGTTACCACCATGACTCAGCCTTCCTTTTTCGTAAATTTCGCAGGAATGCTGACCCACGTACAGTGATTATGTTTCATGTATTGTCTATTGTAAACGCTCATGCGACCTTCGGAAGCGGTTAGATGTAACTTGGCAGGTGTTTTGCCCGTATGACGTTCCGATGGCGGTGCCCAGCATGCAATTTCGGAGCTACAGCTTCTACGTGCAGTGTAAGTACACAGCGGCCTTCGTTTGAACGATCGACTGTGTCACAGCATACCCGCCTTGGTGTGTTCTGAGGGCCGTACTCTCAATGTACAAATTAATGTGGCAAATTCAAGGCAGACCTCCGTTTATACTGAGGGTATCTGTGGTTTTTCGAGGGTACGGGCACAGCGTTGGGCAAACCGACCAAGTCGCGTGAAGGTGTTCGCCTGTTCTGACGCGATCAGTCAGATGTATCCGGCGTGCACCGGTGGTTTGTTGGCCGCTTCCCATGTCCGGAGTTCAAACTCCGGTAGGGCCAAAGATATGCACTGCTGATGAACTCTGTTAGGAGCTAAAATCGAGTCTACTGCTTTCTCTCTTCAGTTTGGTGTACTCACCGGGATAGTTGCTCTCGAGCGGGAGAACTGGTCAAACGAGTGTGAATAAAGAATGACACTGACTAGGCAGATGGCAAACAGCAAGATGTTGGTCTTCTAGTGCTGTGCTCGTCGTACTGAGCTTTTTCGAGAACCATCGGCAGCTTGCATCCTATCAACATTACAACTTATTCCCTATTATTCTAGAATCTCTCTGTAATCCGTCTCTGATATGGAAGGGCTAGAGAGCTGTTGAAGCTTTTGTTTGCCTTTTTAACTTCATGGGCCTACACTCATCACTTGAGAATTGTGGTTGTTCCATCTTTTTCTGATAGACATCTCTGGCGTTTAGCGGGAAGAAGCGGTAAGATAGGCGTACACATGTTTCTATGGGAAAGAAGATCTGGGGGGGGGGGAGAGAAAGGGTTTCTATGGGAAAGAAGATCTGGGGGGGGGAAGACAGGTGCACAAGGCCGTGACCGGTGGATTTTGCTGACAGTGGAATTCCGCAGAATTGTATGCTGGCTAGATTTCGGCTATGTTTGGGACTTTTACTAGTTGCGGCGCGTTCTACGTCAACCGCTCAGACGACCCTACTTAGGGGAGCGACTCTCTTCCATACTTCACTCCCAACAGATCATGCTCCTCGGGATTGCTTGTTTCATCACTTTCTGGGAGATTAATACATATTATGATGAAAGTTGAGGAAATATTATCTGGAGTGGTTTTTCAAAGAGACTTCGTTAGACAGCCAAATATTCGAAGATTATCTCTAAAGTGCATGCTAACGTGCCCTTGAAGTAACTTCGTCCCAGAAGTCCGTGCTACGTATTTCCTCCGCAATATCAGCCAACACCGAGCTTACGTGTACTATTCCTTATGGAGAGGCGGTACTCCACCGACTAAACCCTCATACTGCAAACTCAGTTGAAGAGCATGCGTTTCGGTCTAGACCCAACTTCCTATTAAACTGAATGATTTGCTCAACACCAGCGGCTATATGAATAAGCCACTAGCCGGACAGTCATTGTATCTGTCACCAACTGAAACACTCTTTTAAAGCTGGACACAACTGACGCATTCACTTAACCGGCGCGTTGATATCCGGGTCCACACGAACTCATATTATGGGTGTTGAGCAAATGCACTTCTCATCAACTGAAGCAAAGTTAGAAGTCACACTTACTGAGGGTTTGAGGGCTAAAATCTCCCATAAACTAAACTAAACCCCCTCCAGTTTATTCCAAGTCAAGATGATCTGAAAGTACGGAAGCAAAGACGTGTTTCAAATGAGCAAGCCCAGTGCCCGTAACACATGACTTTCTGTCTGGCCAATCTTCAAGATAACGAAGTATCGTTCCTTCGTAAGCAATATTGTTGGATAGGTTCTGCATGCCAGAAGTTCACATCGAGTAACACGCGAATCTTCGAAACCAATATCGTGGAAAAACAGGGTTTGTCTAGATAGCGCAGCACGATAGCACACCAGTAAGAACTTATGGCTTCATTTTCATTTTTGGTAAGTCATCGTCAAACGAGTGTCGGGTTTGCACTCGAAATTCAGAGCAAATGTCTCTTCTGTTGAAATCGACGAGACTGAAAACGCCGATCGAAAGAACCGCAGTTGTTTCAGGGTTATACTTTACTTGCATAGTCGTGTAAATCCGTCACAACGACACAGGAGAATTACTTGTCGCTCAAAAGATGAAACAGCAACTTAGAGGAAGTACATTGAAACACTTTCGGCGCCAACAAAACATGAAAGCTGTGAACAGCAAGCAGTATACGTAGGCTGGGTATTGGGTGATATCGCGGAGGAAGTACACGTTGCAACAGACAACTTCACAGTTACTTCGGTGGGAAATGGTCTCTAGCATTTTAAATATATTCCTCAATTGTCCGGCTGTCCAATGAAGAGTCCTTGTTTGAGGCCATTCCGAGTGGAATTTCTTTGAGTCTTTCCGTTAGGATGCAATGAAGGAAGCGATGAAACAAGATGTCTTGGGAGGTATTGCTTTCTGGGGGTAGGTAGTTCTTTGGTAGTTCAACGATGAAAAGGCCGGTGTGATCTCCGATACTGTTCATCAACCCGAGCTAGATATATAGTTCACAGACCCCTTGAATGCTAACGTTGACTTCCATGTGCGCAATCAATCGCCGTGTGTACAGATGAATCACCGCCTTGGTGGTCTTTGCCATCAAGAATCCCTTAGGTTCTGTTGATCTGTCAGTACTTCAAATTACACTTGCTCAACAAAGGGTAACCTAAAAGTTTGTGAACATAAACTTGTCCTTATATTCACATGCTCCTGGACATGTGAGGGTGTGGTGAGCTTCTTGTAAGCGTCCATTCGAAAGGTAATGTCCGACAAGGATATCCACTCTATCCATTCTTGTTCAACTTAGTCATCGATGGAGTAATGAGGTGGACGCTGTGATGCCCAGCCTCGTCCGATAATGCAGTCCGATACTCAGCATCTTACATAGTGTTCGGGTAAACCCTGTCAGTTGTATCGTTACGGAATTGTACCGTCTAAGACGGGGAAGCTGACCTCTTTTGATTCGTCACAAAAATATAGGCCACGTCCTAAAGCTAATTTCAGGTGCAAAGTGCAAACAAATCACTACGGTTGGTGGTAACTAATCTCGATGCCCCGATATATGAAAAACCGAGAATTGGCGTCAGGTCTTTATTAGTAGCCGAAATTTTTTTTAGATATACTGTTGTTCTTCCTTAGAGTTTTCCCCATCCAAGCTTTTTTCCTATGCGCCTAGAATCTTCGCTTTTTCACATTCTGTTTTCGATTATACAGATCTCCTATGTGGTTGGTGTTTACTGAGTCCAAGTAAAATCGTCAGTGTTGGCCGTCGGCAAGGCCACCATCAGACGGTTAATATCGCATTCCGCTAATTTCACCTCGATCATTTTAACAATGATCTCACTTGCTGCATTTAGAGGGTGTCCATTCTCACCCTGGACACTTCTTTATTGACAGTTATGCAGTTCCACGTCGAAAGTTCCAAGTCGCAAGCTATGGGGTTCTTCATCAGGATCGCGTTTAGTTCCATCGAGGTAGATTCGGGATTTATGAACCGCTGATGAATCTCAGCAACAACTTCTTTGTGTTATGTATTATTGCACTAGTTAATTGATGTGACGATATTTGAGGAATCTTTTGCTGTAACTTTACTCATGAACGCACAAGATAATTCAGTCACAAACTAGGCTTTCCTTTATTAAGTGGCAAGCATTGTTTGAATTATTGCGGTCATTCAACGTCAGTCCGCAGTGAACAACGTTCTCCTGTGGCAAGTACTCCCGACCTGGAGTCGTTCGAATGTTTCATTCCGTTTGTCTAGACAATATTCTTGGTATTTATTGATTATGGTTGCCTGATCCTTGGGATCCTCATTGCTTGGTGAGTCGAGTGCCTTCCCCAGCACTACTAGTTGGCAGTATTACGATTCCGTGCCGAACGTGCTTAAAATTGTGAAGTTGTCCCAATTCTCATGTGAAAAATACTTGGAACCGATTGGCTTGATGACTTGGCCTGACGAAGCTTTTGTGTCAAGCGAAAGGTTGCCCAGAAATAAATCTACCGATTATCACCAAACGTTTTTCGAAAACGTCGTCCCAATTCTGTTTCTACAGTTTGTAGTCCTCCACAAACTTGTTCCAGTCGGCAACGTCCGACTGCGTTCCTGTTCAAGGGGTCACTGGATTTCGTCTACTGGTTCGCGAGTTCATTATTATGAAATTCTGTCGTGAAAACCTATCTGTGGCAGCTTCGTTTAATTAATCCATGTCTAGCCAATCTCAAATCGTGGAGGTAGAAGTAACATCACGAAAGTAAAGCTTCAGGATTTCCCACGTAGCGTTTCTGCCGTTCAGTAGCAGAACTGCTGTCAGTGATCATGTTCCGCTTAAAACGAGGTGGTTCGAAGAGGATTGATTCACTAGAATACCACAAAACCTCTTTAGAATGCGTATGTTCTAGGGGAATGGTAAACAGTGTAGTTCTCATCGACCGCCGTTTGATCACGCATGCTTCTGGTTGGTGCTGTGAAGGCCGGTCACCTTTTTTGAATGCGTGTATTACATGCACCGAATGAGAACTGTTTTCGCAGCTCACCACGATCAATGTTACCCCACTGATACACCCTAACGTGTTTATTCTGGTGGCTAAGCACGTTCCCGAGTGCACAATCTAGAAGCGCTCCACCTATGTAAGTGAAAAACATCCCATTAGTTAAATCAACGGGCAACTGTATGGAGGGCTAAACGAGCCCACCTCGTGGTTATCACTGGCCACACTCCATAGGCCTTCGTCATTCATGCAGTGCTTAGTGGATCAGTCGCCTTTTTAGCGAGCTTAGCCAATTCCGTTCCCTAGGTCAAAGCATACAAATGCGATTGCTATATCCTGCAGGTAGCACTCACCAGCTTCGTCGTTCTGTTTCCCCGCAATTTTTCTCGCACAATTGTACGTTGGAGAATCTCCCCGTTGAATGCGATCGAAACATGTGACCTCGGTTTGCGGTGAATGCTGGTCATATATATTCCTGTGTTCTGGAAGGTCTACTGCTTCTTTGGGCAGCCTGCAGTAAGGCTGTTTTTCTTTGACTGAAGTTATTTTCCCCAGAAAGGTATTTCACATTTTAGGAGGTTGCTTGTTATTATCCATCTACTTTGTCAATCCATCCAGCTTCCGAGCTTCCATTCGGAGGTGTTGGTCAATCTGGATTCGGTCGCCATCACGGCAAGCATTCAGTGTACACATTCTCCAACCCTCGTTCCGTTATGCTGAGGTCCAGATCAGAGTTCATCAACCAAAAGTGAGCCAGGTTTTTTGTGTTTTGATTCAGATTGACTAACCTGAAAGGTGGAACGCCTTGTTGATTGATTTTTGGACCCCTTTTAATCAACTCAGTTATTTTTGCTTAGCGAGCTTTCAACGAGTCACACACGATGTAGCATGAAAAACTGTAATAAGGTGTAAAAAGCTCGGTAGGACGGTTTTTCTCACTCAAGATACGCACCGCTATTACTTACGGCACGACTTCGTTGATGTTTTGTGGGTGTGATCCGCGAATACCGATCGATTTCTTAGTATGTTGTTAGTCTATGGGTTTTACCACCCAAAGTCATTGCGGTTGGATTGCAGGTGATATATCGGTCAGATATACCCTTCTGTGGTAGTTGGTCAAAACGGTGCTCCACGTGAGGTGCTATCTATTTCACGGTTTAGTAGTAAGCCTGTAGCCCTGGACTAGCGACTGTGTTATGTGAAAGCAGATCATTCCCTTTATACTTCTCTTTTCAGTAGCCTTTCTGATGTCGTTCCGATCTTGGTACTATAGACATGCCACCTAGTCTACCCAACTGCGAGCGTAAACTAAAAAAGGCGGGATCTTCAAGCAATCCTCATTGCTGGGGAAGACAGCAAATCTGTTGAAAGGGACATATTCTCGTTTGCATTACTACTCACAACCGGTAGTGGGTTTTCTGCAATTTCCATGGGCTTTGTTAGTAGTGTTGAAAACGGCTTCGATATGTTGAATACCGTTTCGACTCCAACATGAGGTAGGTAGCTTTTGCACGACCGAAAACTATCATAAACGAGACGTTCAGGTGGATTCCAGCCGACTCTCACGTCAACACTAATCTAGTGTGCAAGTGGGCGTTTGTCGGTCATGGTCACTTCGACATGAGAATGTGGGAAACGTGCTGCCTACATAACAAACATGAATTGTAATCATAGGTATTACGCGATGAATCCCTCTTCATGTGACTATTTGGCCGAGGTGACGACGGTGACCTGGATTCTGTCAATCGATGTATTTTCTCCATCAGTCTGACGTTCATCGATGGTTCAGCTCACCAAGTTGTTTTAATCTATTCTAATACGCCCCAAGCCCCCTTGAAAGAGCCATCTTAGGTTCTCATACATCATTCAAATTAGCGGTCTTTAACGTACATACCATGATGCAAATGGATGAACAAGCCCTGCTGAATGTTGGCTTTCGCTGTGTATCCGGAACCCGACCCTAACACAATGCTGACCCCCCTCCGAAAGTTTAGAAAGTATGGTTGACGGGAGGCAATCGCGGCATATTGACTGGTGGATTGGGTATGTTGTCTGAGTTCACTCTGGTCTATTTGTTTCCTGCTAACAGCCAGCTTTTGGTTTTACCACTGAACGGTGGGTTTAAAGTCTCAGAACCAGGGGAGATTATACTCATTGCAGTGGCTCAGTGTGTCCCAACCAACTGCAGTAGTTATGCAGAGATAAGTGGTTTCTATGAATAATTATGGCAGATCGCAAGTAGTGTATGCAGTCCTGAGATTGCGATATTGGATTGAAGATATGGACGTTCAGACTGACAGAACGCTTCTTCCGTTGTTACTTTCAGATAAGGTGGACGACAAACCGTTTTAGCTACTACTTCGGAGACCCTTGAAGTTGATATATGTTTTCGTGAGACCAACTCAGCGTCCCATATGCAGTCGGGATCACTCTCTTCAAGGGCTAGTGATCACCATTGTCCTGGATATTCAGCAGTATAAAGTCTGGGCACTGCAGGCATAGGAGTAGCTCCGAGCTGGGACTGTCTCACTCGAATTGAAACCTATCAACCTCCATCTCTTTGCAACCGCGTTAGCAGGATCCCTTGAGGTGAATATCAATTGAGATAGTGAATGCTACACAGTACTCCACAACCGATTTTGCCCTTCAAGGGGGTGATCGGGCAGGCGCAGTTCCCGAGTTTCCGCCAACTTTATGCTGCTTATGAACACCACGTTGTATGTCGTTGGTGGAGTACACAATTCCGTCACATTTTCCTTTTTGTTTAGGTTAGCGAGCTGGGTATTAAGCAGTGATGCGGGCAGGGTTTTGAACAAGTGAAAGAGGACGTCTAAATTCCAAGCAGATCGTTAAAGAAACGGGAACTCTGAAGGTTTAGACAGTGAGCTGGCAGGGAATGTGTTAGGTGGCCCATCTTGAAAATTCAACGGTTTGGCTGATGTCAGCCGCCTACGTATTTGGCTCACGCGTGAGCACGGTGGTTTCTGGCCTGCCCCATAGGTGCGAGAGGGTGTATTTTCTCACGCACTCCACGGTGGAGAGTATGAGTATGAGTATGAGAGAGTATGAGGCTGAACTAAATCGTTGGTGGAACACAACTCATTGCATCAAAGTCAGGCACCCAGTCCTGTGTCCATCTTTCTTCCTTAGTGAACAAGAGCTCAGCTTCAACGGTGAGAGATCCTATTGCTGCAAGCCTTGTGCGTTTACACTTTCTTTCTCTGGAGAGACTGGCTTAACAGACCGACCGATTGGCAAGGTCACCTTGGAGAACCCTTCTCCTTACTATGTACTTGAAAAGATTAACATGAAATGATATATTCTAGCAGCTGATCTTGATTGTTAATCAATTGACAGCTACTTTGTTCTCCGATCTTGGTAGGTAGCCTACAGCATCAACCGCTCACTGATGACGCCTCGTATTTTATAACGAAACGTTTACAGGCTAATTGCCAAGCTGGGCGAACAGATCGACAGCGAATTGACGCATCCAAGCAAGCGACACAGGAGAGGACGACTTCATAACGAGTAGTCAATCAGTTGCAATCTGGCCTCTTTTTATCTTTATTTGATCACCTTTAGAACACGCCTGGTAACTCATTTTTCTTGCTCCGCGTAAAGTTGTTTCACTACTTTCCTATGGCCTCCTTCCCGTTTCAGAGTACTCTATCCTCCTTATAACGATAAGAAACTCAGCTGGTTGAATTGGCTGTTGTCATCCTCAGACAAGAAGAGTTGTTCGATTATGTAACAGAAATGACGACATGTCTAACATGGACCCACTGGGAGCTTTTGCTTTGGATCACCACCGATGCATGTCTGATTTCATCTCGCAACCGGTTGCTCCTTTTAACTGATCGCTTGTCTTTGCATCCCACGCACTTTTCACGCCGGTTTCATCATCCACTTTGTACCACTTTGTTGGGTGTCTTTCCGGTATGCCATCACTTTCAGAACTCCCAAGATGAAAACTTTTTATATATGTGATCTGTCAGCCATTGCAATTGAATACTTTAATCCCTTTGAATAATCAGTCAGTTGTTGGGATCAGCTTTTGTCACTTCTGTGAAAGAATCGTCTGATGTTCTACCTTGTTGGAGGTTACTGTTTCTGAAACGTCGGTTCTTGGAATCGGCTAATCGTTGCACGCCTGATGAAGTCGAAGCATCCAGCATCTTTTTTTTATTCAGCTAGGCGTGTCAATCTAAGTAGCTGTTGTAGAATGAAGTGCGGTCCGGAAATTTCAACACATTGTATGATGCGCTGGTAGGTAGGCCCGCAGCGTAGTGGCCTGTTAGAAATTGAACCTGGCGTGCCTTACAAGCCAAACTGTACATTGAAGAAACCGAAGTGTGTCCACACTGGCGACCCTCCCTCATCGAGGATCATGCGTACACGGCGAACTAACAGACACAGCATGTATCACAATCGACTTCAGATCAAATCAGATTTCACTTGTCGCCCTTTTGGGGCCTGAATTGTCATTCTTTCTGAACGAGCTCTATGCGTTACGCAGTTTTACTGCGTTTCTCACGTCTAATTCTACCTTTTCACATTAGACCAGATTTCAAATCCCATCGGTACAAACTAATCCCAGTATCGTGAGATTTCCGTTGGTACTTTGGAGCGAAAACACGACGCCGGTTGTTGCGTTGTTACCAACGCGGTTTTCTATCTCCGGCGAGACCAGCTCTACTGGTCGACCGGCAGTGTTCTGTTCTCGGTTCGGAATATGGTAACTCTAGAAATTGGTAACTGTCATCCTCAGATGGCTTGTTAGGTCTCTCAGTTTTGAATTGGTCAGGAAATTTACGAGTTCCGTCTTGTTTTCACGTATGGACGATTGCATGTTTTCTTCTCATATGAAAGTGCTTCCATAGTTCACGTGCCATACGATTCGCTTGACTGAGTTCGGGATAACTCATTGGTCAGGGTGGTAACTTACCGACCGGAAGATCCGTGGTTCTAACCCAACCCGGGCACCTCGACTGCTCCTGTTTATGTTTCAACAACTTGGCAGTATCTCAGCTCTCCTGCTTCGTTCGGGTGGCCTGGCATATTCAATCAGTTGAACGATTTGTTGCGATACGATACGATTGGTCTCATCTCCCCCCAAATCTTCGATGAAGTCAAAAGCAATCTAGTTTTATGGGAACAAATCTCGATAATTAGTTAGTTGCCGAATTTCGAATATTCTGCTCCATGTCTTTTCCTGAGATCAGCAATGAGGGGTTGTTCACATGGAGTATTCTCTCAACTTATTCTGGTAGACTGCCGGGTCGGATAAAATCAAAGTTAAAAGTGAAATTGAGTACTCGAGCAATATGACCGTAGCACGACTCTTTCCGGGCCCTTAGTTAACGCAGTTTCAGTTTGGCATCTTAATGGTGCAAATACGTTTGTCGAATCAATTGCTCTTCTAACATTGGAATAAGTGATATTTGTCGAGAGCTGGTAGTTCTTCAGGTTTACTCATTCGTGACCAAATGGCAGACTGAAGCTGTAGTTTTTTTCGAAGTCCTCACGTACAGTTAGTTGATATTTCTCGTGATAACGAGAAGTGACGAACACCGTAACATTTTGGTCTTCACTTCACTTTTAAGGGGAAAGGAGTTTGCAATCACCTATGCGAGTTACTGAAGCTGCTCGATGAATTGACTCATGTGCCGTTGGCGCTGCACCAAACAATGGAGGTCATAGGCAATCACCTAATACGGAGCATGATATATTCGCTCATGCCGGGCCTAGTTTACCACTCAATGTTGAGTGATTATGTCAGGCAGCTTATTCAAGGCTGGTTACGTCTACCGAAGGGCCCCTTTTCCCAATCAGCTACATCCAAGCCGGTAAACAACACAGGGAACTCGGTATCCCATGCTTGAGTTCAACTCTGAATTCAGTGGAAAGGGCGTATGGAAAAGCAGCTGTCTACATAGTGCCGAGTAGTTTGCGGTATGGTTGGTGATACCACGTTTGACAAGGTTATTGGGGATCTCAGCCTTCCGATCCAGACCTAATGTGCTTGCGTGAACATCAAGTAAGAAATGGTTGCTACTTGGAGCGATAGTGTTCACATGATGTTCGCGGTTTAAGAGTTGGTTACCTTGCCTCTTCTGAATAGATTGCTTAAGTCTCTAGAACGCGTGCTTTCTTGGTTATTTATCCGCGGTATCCAGCTCCGGTACAACTTGCTGAGGACGAGAGATAGAAACACCCGGCCTGAGGAGACGATCTTCTATCGCAGGAACTGTGATAGTTTTATTGCATCACGCTTGGTGATCGGGATGCAAAGGGACTCGAAAAATGTCTCCGCCATCTAGGACACACCGTTTTGGAGGAGTTGCTAGCACACACTTCGACTTCTTTCATCGAGCCGGACGTAATCGGTGTCCGGGAGCGTCGAGCAACTGTGATAGACGTTAGAAGCACCCTGCGAAAGAGAACCCGCGAAACATCTCCGTTTCCTGGGATACACCGTTTTCGAGGAGTTGAGAGCACCTACTTCGACGTCCTTCATCAAACTTGACCTAGTCGCTGTTCGGGAGCGTCGAGCAACTGTGGTATACATATGCATACTCACCGAAGGGCGTGGAGTGACTGTGGAATGAGAAGAAGCAGAAGTATGACGCTGATGAATATTCCTTCGCCATAATCTCAGCCTTACGTGCGATTGGTTGTGATGTCGACCTTTTGGTCCACCACCTGATGATCATTTCATATCTGGGGATCTGCTTTCCTCAGTTCACCAAAGCTGTTATTGGACTGGGAATTCCTAGTGTCACAGTCAGTGACTTGTGTTTGCTCGCCATTTCGGTCTCTGCATACTTACGACACTTTTATGCGTGGTACATGGCGCTGAGTGTTCATTCTTGCGTTGTGTGACAGACACTGTGTGTTTGATATGCGAATTTTGACTGTGCTAGCGTCAACTATGCTTTGAAGATCACTGCGCGTTGTCTGTCCCTCTTCAGTTGATGGCCTTTGCATGCGTGTTTCCATGCCAACCAGTTTAACGTGCGTTGGAGATCGTTTTACCTGATTGGGAAAATATCGTTTTTAGTGGTCTCCTGTACATCGACATCTCTGTCAGCCGAATTTTTTTTATACTTTTTTGATATGTTTTTCAAAAACAAATGATAATGGGGATTTGTGTTGGCATTGATCATTGGTGGGATCAGAATAAACCGGGCGAAGCAGTGGATTCGAATTCCGTTCCTATCAGAGCTCATCAACAGTGCATATCCCTGGCTCTGCAAGAGTTTGAACTCCGCACATCTGACAAGCGAGGCGAGCGTGTTAGCACAACTCCACCACTCCACCACAACTCCACGACTCACCTGAATCACAACAAACGATGATGTTCAGTCAAAATCGATGTGCTCATATGTACTTTGTTTACAGGTCGAGTAGGTAGGGTGTAAACATAACTCAATATTCCACATAACTTCCTGTGTAGTTAGCACGCGAATGTAAGCTATCACCATTTTGTAGTAAACATTTCAGGTTGACAGTAATTGCGGGTGCACTGGTGTATAGAGAAGTCACACGAAGGATGGTTTCGAGGTGTCATGATCTAACTTGTTGCAGCCTATCCCCAAAGTTATGAGAATCCCTGGTTTTGCTAAGCACGTTTTTACGTTGTGGTCGCAAGATTTTGCACTGGACTAATAGTGTAATCCACGGTCTGTTAGGATGACTGACGGAGCAGAGTGTGTAACGGTGAATTAACTTCCAAACAACCGACTCGGTGAAGAAGTACAAACCACAGCGAAGACGGTTGCAATCTAAGGCTCCAGAGATCAGTAACCACATTATGGAAACACCGAGCAAGGACGGATGACACAGAGATCGATCGATGAACACTCGGACCTAGGACCTTTGGAACCACAGTAACACTGGCGTGAGACAAATGCGGTGGGTAACCTCTAGATAATAACATCAAGCTAAAATACTCAGCATAGGTTTTCGCATTTAACCGGAGAAGCATTCTGGGGATGAGCTGACCGTACGGCCAACTTCCTCCCACAAAGTGTAAGGTCATGCTTGTGAACGTGCAGTCACTGAACACGCCACTTACAATCCAGGGAGAGATACTGGAAGTTGTGGAGCGTTTTAAATATCTTGGAAGTTGTACTAGTTCTGATCGTAGTGTGACAGATGAGGTGAATGCACAAATCTGCTAGGCTCGGGCCGCGTTTGCTTACCTGAAACACCTATGGCGTCAGAATGGTTTATCTCGGATTTTGTAGGGACGTGTGTATCAAGGTACAGTACGGGATGTTTTGTTGTATGGCTGTGAGACTTGGCCCATTCAAGCAGCGGAACTGGGACGTCTTCAGGTGTTCGACAATCGTTGTCTCAGAACCATAGCTCGTCTGGGTTGCTGTCGACGAATCCGTAACGAGGCAATGTTTTCGGTGGTGTAACGGGTACTTTCATTGAGGAATGTGTCCAGCACCCGAAGCTGCATTGGTTGGGACATGTGTTGCGTATTCCTAACCGTCGTTTGCCGAAGAAAGTGATGTTTTCCACACCAAACTCAAAGTGGAGGAAGCAGAGAGGTGGCCAACTCTTGACCTTGCAGAGGGGCATGAAAGAAACCACGAAACATCGGCGCTGTCAACCGATGTCAGTGGCATTCTTGTTGTCAGTTTCTATCCAGACAGCCGGAATGAGTGTCTGGAGATGTAGGCACCTCTGAATGACTGCAGTAAGCTAGAATTAAGACCCTTCCCCGTCCAACTTTATTTTATTCTTTTCTTCACAGTAAATGTTTTAAATGATTCATGGTTGTTCGTCAGCGAAGCATCGACGTTCAACACTGATGTCATGCTATCGATGATGATGACATTGACGATGATGATGAGTTACACCATGTAATCTGCCCGGTGAGTAACTCTGATAACCTTCTGCCGGGAAATCACAAATCCTAGTTAGGCATAAAAATATCGATCTTAAATTTCATCCCAAAAGTACTTATGAACTTCATGAGGTTCTACAATTGACCAACACTGAATACAATCTAGCTGTGGTCCGGTTGCCTTCTGCACTGCACCGGTACACTGTTCAAATAAACTGACCGAACGAATTACGTATGCGTGAATTCATCTATGTAACCAGTTTTTATCGGAATGTCATAGATATTCAGCTTTATCCCTGGTTGATATAGCTCCCGGATTTGGAATCAAATTCAATGACGCACTCGATCAGCTTTCCAGATACCAAGCCATGCAAAGCGTTTTAAAGGTCTCAGATACGTGCATGCAACAAAGTGAAATTACGTCCTTCCTACAGCTTCACCCCCTCCCCCATCTTTCTCTTCTCCATAAAATTGAAAATCCACTTCCCTAATACGACAGTATAAATAGAAATCGGGTTATTCTATTGGAACTCGCATCGGTTAGAGCCAACTGCTGCATCTCTTGATAAAGTAGAATGTTTTGAGTTTGAATGTCTTCCGGGCATTTTCCCGCTGGTTGCTCTTTCGGACTGATGTCCTCAAACGGCGGGAATCCCGTTTTTTTGAAAGCATCCAACAGTATATCGGCATAGCTAGCATTCCAGGCTTATCGGATTGGCTGCCCTGCTCGCACCGCATTCTTTTGACACAACACATCGTATCGACCCTAATTGCCCATCTGACTGGCTTCAAATTTGGGTGATATCTTTCGAAATCTACATATGAAGGATTGGTTTTACTTTGGTCCATCAACCGGACAACGGAAGTGCATTTTGCAGACAAGTACATTAACAGGATAACCAGTGCGATGGGGCATTATCAACCAATGGAATTAGTCATCTTCTCCGAATCTCCATATTCCGGCTGACATTCACTAACAAACTTTGGAGCAAAGAATTCGCCATCTGAACAGTTTGTGATAGACAGTATACGAAAGGAAGATGTGTTCAGTCAGTCAGTGAATAGCCGTCAGACATGGCCTATTACGAGGTGTCTACTTTTCATCCTCGCAATTCCATACATTAACAAACTTAATCGATTTTTTCGATGCCGTTGCGTGAAATGTCTTCACTACTTATGACGAGGCATGTTTTGGGGATTCATCCACCCCCTCGATCAACTTGAAAACTTGATCCAGAACCTTTTTGACAAAGCCACAAACCTCATTTTACTCGCTGTGCAGAACAGGCCAAAAAAGTCTACTGAACGGACTAATGCATTTTCTCGAATGTACCTTCCCAATTTGACATGTTTTCAAACGTTCACGCACTCTTCTTTGAGACATAGAAAGCAGCTTCCCCAGTATGGGGACGCGTGATTTTTGAAGCTTCGATTTTACCTTTTTGGTAATTATTGAATGAATTTGATGTCCCATCTCTTGACGCACTCCAAGAAGAAGAATTCTAAAGGACTTAGATCCCGAAAGCTTAGAGGCTACGTAATCAGATTCACTTGTGTGGCAGAGTCTTGTCTGGGTGTCAGGTACCCACTGCGCTGGGTCTCCGTCCTTTTGAAATTAAACGCCCTACAACTTCGATGAAGATAGATTGTTCAAATGAGCCCCGGCAACCTCTCTCACTAAATCTGCCCAGTGCGTTCAAATAAGTAAGATGTCGACAAAGTAGGGACAGAGAATTCCGCATTCATCGACTGAACTGACTGTAGGCCTCAATCATGGCGTGTGAGTTCGTTTTAGCCCCCTCGATGCTTCAATGTCCTTGGCTATTCTTTTATGCCCAAAACACCCCCTTTTCCGAGAAAGTGATGCTTTGGCGTAGTTGACGACAAATAGACTGGATCCGGATGGTCCAGCTGTTAATACCACGAAATTCCGTTTTGCTGCAGCCGGGTTCGCACATGTGCATGACCGCCCTCAAATTAGCTACCGGTTAATGGCTTGAAATATTATACATATGTTTAATAGATACGTAGAAGATACTTCTTGGCCCAACAGACTGCAGAGGTCATCCGCACAGCTGCTAAGTATTCTTTATATGGCGGATACCAACTTGAGTAGATTCTGAGGCAGGCAGGCGGAGAACAGTCAGGATGGATGTTTTCATAAAGAAAACTACTCACAAAGTTGCTGAAAGCTCTTCGACAGCCCACGACCGGTTTCGCCCTTCTTGGGGCTCATCAGGTGGGTGCAGTCCCCGAGTTTCCGTCAACCTTATGATCTACTTGAACCAAATTGCACTGTTTTCGAGAAATACACTAATTTGCAAATCAATTTGGTTTTCACGGGAGACTCAATCGAATCTCTCGTTTATGATGTCCTCCTTTATGAAAATATACTGCGATATCTCGAATATCGTGCCAACTGAATCATGAGGCGGTCTGTGTGCAGCACATTCAACTGGAGGACATCATAAACGAGAGATTCGGTCGAGTCTCCCGTGAAAACCAGGATGGATGTTCTTCTCTTACCGTTCCACATCCCACCTGCTACCCTGATTATTCCTCCACTGAATGGCTATTCAGACCACACCGGGTCAGAGGCGTGAACGACCACACTTCGTGACATAGGAGTTAACAGCACTCCATTTCAGCGACATCCATAACACGAG